AGACTTTGCAGTGGATAATTTTAATTTACTTTGGATAATTTTAATTTGCAGTTGATAATTACCATAATGGCCTGCCGCCCATTAAGGCAATTGGCAAGCCAAGGGTGGAATTTGTGATGTCCGATATCAGCTCGGAATGATCGACCGTACCAAACGTCTTGGACAGATCTAAAACTGCCACAATGGCCATTCGCAATCTTGGAAGTAATTTCTTGCAAAGCCGTCGTTGCGCTATATGATTTCCTGAAACCATGTTGGTGGGTAGCAAGAACGAAATGCTGTTTCAGGGATGGATCAATAGAGACTCTAAAACGTTGCTACTGGTAAAAGAAGATAAATCGGGCGGTAGGAGTCCCCATAATTAGCGGATTTATCAGGTTTTAGAATTGGAATAATACGGGCAACTTTCCTAATGTCAGGGATTACCAACTGTGAGATCGATAACTCGAGAACTTTGGTCACATAGCCCAGCCCTATTGCTCCAAGCTTTTAGCAAGAACGAAATGCTGTTTCAGGGATGAATCAATAGAGACTCTAAAACGTTGCTACTGGTAAAAGAAGATAAATCGGGCGGTAGGAGTCCCCATTAGTAGCGGATTTATCAGGTTTTAGAATTGGAATAATACGGGCAACTTTGCAAATGTCAGGGATTACCAACTGTGAGATCGATAACTCGAGAACTTTGGTCACATAGCCCAGCCCTATTGCTCCAAGCTTCTTTAACATGAACATTGATATGCCGTCTGGACCAAGCCTTTTGGATGGCTTGGATTTGGAGATAATTGCCTCTACCTCACTGGATGTAAATTATAGTGGATGCAAGTCTCTTTTTAAGATTCTTGGATCTCAGAATAACTGCTCGCTTGGTCCTGTTCAGCGAAGATGGATGCTCATGCAGAACTGCAATGCACATTTTTTGGCATGAGAATGTTGGATGTTATTGAAGGAAATAGCAGGGAGATTTTTATTTCTTTTGGAACCAGATAGACTGTTCATTGTAGACAATAGCTGCTTGGTATATTATGTTGCAGTGGTTAAGCGCCTGTGCTCAAGGAATAGAGCATCTATTTCGTCGCTAAGCTGCGGGATTCTGTCGTCAGCGGGGCTTTCGGCACGGAGGTGGTCGCGTTGCTGTGCCAATCTGCATGCCCTGGATGGATAATAACTTCTCATCCTTTCTTGCACACACGGGTGGCGGCATAGGACTTAATGAGTCTACAATTATATTTATTATAATTCATGAAAGTACGCTGGTTGGGCTCCACGAAATCGCTGGGTTTCTCTACCGTGACCAGGATGGGGATATGGTGTGAATTTAAAGCGACCTTGGTTTACCAGGAAGTGTATGGAAGGAGCAATGGAAATGCACGGAGAGCTCGAACACCTGGCAGTGACTCTGGTAGAAGATCCTCATTGATGGAAGCGTAATCGGACTCGTATATCTGGTTTGCAATAAGAATGCTGCGATGATCATTAGGAAGTTGAGAATACCATATCTCATGATGAGCTTTGGAGTCGTCAAGAACAATTTTATTATCTCCCTGCAGCAGATGGATGATGCTTGCATGATAACTGACCCCAATGCTGTTGACGGGCGAAATATATACATTTACAATTTCAGAATCGTCGGAATGAACCGAAATGCTCAAAACCTCCAGGGAAGGGTCAGACTGGGAAGGAGACGGAGGGGAAGTCAGAGTATATCTGACATCTCGCAAGGCAGCAATGAAGATGTCGTTTTCATGTATGCAATTTGTGATATCAATTTCCTTATGCCTAAGAGCATTACAATTAAATTGCATGATTAGGAATATGGTATTTGGATCACTCCCCTGCATCGACTGCTGCTGTATTTGCCCTTGTGGACCCAGGCGAGTGGAGTTATTCGGCAAACGGAAAACCTGCCTGTAACGCTGTTGTCTGGATAGGAAGTTTTGAGTATTTGATGTTGGAAATGAATGACTAGAAGGAGTGCTAGTCGGAACAATAGAATTAGTTCTACTTCATGAATGGCTAGACAGAGTGCTAGCCGCAGAATAGGAAGAGAAGTTAGTAGAATAACTAACTTGACTACCAGCACTAGTGGTAGTACTGTTTGATGGAGAAGAAGACGGAGTGCTAGCCGTATTACGTGAATCACTAGTAGCATAACTTGTCGGACTACCAGCATTGGAACTGGTAGGAGTTCTGCTTGACGGAAAACTGGCCGGGGTGCTAGCAGCAGAACTGGAGGAAGAGCTAATGGAATAACTAGCTCTTCCACTAGTACTCACTAGAAGCAGTACTACCGGATGGAAAACTAGACGGAGTGATAGCCGTAGTACTGGAAGGACTCTACTGGATTCTAGCTGATAATGCTGCATTAATTACGAAGAAATCGGCTACAAAGCCGGATTTCTAATTCCTATGTGAACGGAGGATGGTAAATCTTCTCATGTGGTACCAGCTACTTCAACCATTGTACCTTACAGATGTTACGTTTCTCATGGTTATCCCGCAAACCGAACAGTTCTACTTGGAGTTCTGGGCAGGTTGCTAAGAAGGGATGGAATTTCTCGGGGTTGTTGGAGACAAGGTGCTAGATGTTGTTGGCTCGAAATGAAGTTGGAGACAAGGTGCTAGATGTTGTAGGCTCGAAATGAAGTTGTGCGACCAGTCGCGGAGTGAGGTGAGACCTGAGCACCTCACCAATTATTGCAAACATTGCATCGCACTGAGGTGGAATTAGCAGCTATGCGTAAATGATACACTGAACAAAATCGGACATCAGGACCTGGGTTATGTTCAACACCGGCACGGATTAAAAAAATGGTGAGCAAATCTGCCGAAATGATTTGCTCGCCTGTGGAAAAAATGTCGTATGGTCGCTGAGTGGACAATTCCCGGCCGAGTCAAACTCGGGTCGTTTCGGATAGTAGACACCTCTGTCGCGGAAATGCGTAAACGAATGTTTGTTCTTATTCTTGTTGCTGTTTTGACCATTCGCGAGCATTGCGAAAGTTCGTTTTATTCATTAATGCTTTTATTTCATCCAATGTAATATAAAAAAGCCAGTATGGCCAGCCAATAACTTATATAACAAAAAAAATCCAAGTAACTCTACAAAATGAAATTTAATGCAAACAACTAATATAATCAGATTCCAAAAAAGAGCCCCAAACCATTGCACTTTACTGAACTTTCGCTAAGAAAAGTGGAGGGGAAATAAAGCATAAGGAATCCTACATAAAAAAATAAACTATATATCACTCTTGAACCCAAGAGCAATACTAGAACCACACATTAAATTTCATATGTGTCAGCGCGTATGTATAAATCTATAATAATAAATGCTATTGAACTTTAAAGATTCGTGAGCGAATGTCAGAAAGAATTTCAATCACGAAACAAAACGAACGATCGTTGTTGTGTGGTAAAGAATATAACGCGATAAATTCATTCGTAAAATGAGCCCAAAGGTAAAGAGCGTATTTTGAATTTTTACGCACCCTGCTTGTAACGAATACCTTTACAGTCTGTCTTATTCTATACCTTGAAAATCTCCTTCGTACATCGTTTTTCCCCATGACAGTGTTCGATATCTGCACAGCTGATTCCCTATTTCATCATATGACTAAACAGTAGAGAAATAGAAAAAGAAGACGCTTTCCAACCCTAACTATCAGCTGTCGTTTGTTGTCCAGCTGTTATTGTGAGGTCGTCACTTTTGTTTTGATTCAAGTCTTTATCGGCCATTCCCGCTTTGTTTTTGTTTCTACTGCGTCATCTCTACAAGGAAGGCTTTGTAATGTTGAAAAAATTAGAATTTAATTTAAAATAAATTTAATCTGTAATTAAATTTAATTTGCAATTAAATTGAATTTGTAATCAAGTACATTTCAAAATCACATTTACATACAATATCATGAGATTTCTCTACTTTTACTTTTTACCTACATTGTATGGAGTTAACAAATATGTCCACTGAGCGGCTGAAATTAGTTTGTCACTTTCAGATGATTTTCATTTAAGAAAATTCGTGAGACAGTGTAAATGAACTTAAACTGCATATGCATTATAACTTTTTACAGGGTTAACCTATTTTATGAGTATTTATTTGACATATATGCAAAGGAATTGACAATTGAAAGCCAATGGGTTAACGAAATCCGGTTACATGTAAACGTACTACAAACCCCAATTTTTTGTTTTACGACATCAACGCCGCACACATTAACATTTCAGTATGGCTCGGTTCTCTGACTGTGGTTCTCTTTTACTTTCCATTCCACATCATTCGTAAACATTTCAGCTCTCCATCCCACCTCATTCGTAACTTTCGGTTCTCCACTTTGACTTATTCTTTATCGGGCATTTTGTCTTATCCCATCCCATTCGTAACAGGTGGAACGTTTTTCAATTTTGTCAATACATTGAGCATTGAGAAAAAAAATGTGGAAAAAATTAGAATTTAATTTATAATAAAATATGCAGCTGCTATTGTGCAATAGCTGATTAGCAAAGATTTGGAGTAATTCTGTTGAAGATTTTATTTCGAAAAGAACGAATTGAGTGAGTGTAATTAAAAATTATTGTATTGAATGCAAAATTACCCAAAGAAATCAAACAGCAACAACATCTGTGGACTAGATTTGTCTCGCTGAATTACAATAGCAATAACAAACAACAACAACAACAGCAGCAGCGTAATAACAACACAAGGTGTGACTCCAATTGATGAACTCTTTAATTGGAAACCTTTTTTGGTGCAATTTTTAATAAATTCCAAGAACTGGTAAAATATTCTACGGAAAATTCCTTCATATTATAGTGGAATATTAACAATAATTACCTCATTTAATTACAGGTGCCGGTCAAACATCTATCACGAAGACGAATAAAGTTATTCGTGCTGCTAATCGAGTGTGGGTGTTGTGACTAATACGACGTTACAAAGTGGAGTTGAGAACAAAACACACAGATCAGCATAGAGACAGAGCACATTCCCCTACAACAGCACAATGGAAATGAAAGAAGTTTTGGGTAGGGAAGGTCGTGAAGCAAAAAATCTGGTGGCCTATCAAATATGCGATGAGAGACCGTTAAATTTATCCTCATCATCGTCCTTTGAAAGTAAGTTTATATTTCGTTTTTTTGTTTCTTTGTTTGTTGCCGAAATAATTTCTTGTAATAACATGTGGTTTCAGTACGACAGAGTTTTATTTAGTGAAATAAGAATGCTCTTTTTGAACATACAAACAAATTTAACGACCTATCCAAAAGATGCGAGAAAAGTTCTACCCTTTATTTGATATCATTTATATCGACATATAGTCTACCGCGACCAATTTCACCGGTCACTTGACCATCGTTCTAAGCGACTGTATATAAAGTGATTTTAGTCTAGTTACTATAAGTCCCATAATGCTGCTAAAAACATTTGCAACCAAGTCATCTGCGGTAAAAAACCCTAATTTTATTGAAATAAAAAAAATTGAGACGGAGATTTAAATGCAAAAATAATCCTTATTCAGCGTTTATAAGATTTTTAAAATATTAATTTCATATCAACAAGAATTTGTTGTAAATTTACAAAATAACGTTGAAAGTCATGTCAGTCTGTGCTTAAAACATTTGCAAATTATACTGATATTGAAAAAAGTACAAATTTTTTGTTAGTAATCGAAAGCAAAACCATGTCGTTTCTGCACATCTTCATGGTATAGAGTGGATTAAATGATCTATATATGGGATGCTATCCCTCTGATCATTTTGGGCAACAAAAAAATTCTTATTTTCTTAATTGATTTCCAAGTTCTCGTTATACAATTTCCAACAAGTTTCTCTATTTGATTTAGGTCAGGTGACTGAGCAGGCCAAACTATAGGAAATATTTTTTTTTTGCAAACCGAATCCGAGCTAAGCTTTTTTTTAAATTAATGGTTTCTTATAGTCAGAATTCTATGATCTTTTTATATCTTTGGATGTTATATGAGGGAATTTTATAATTATTTTGATTTTCCGATCCACTTTTGACGTATCGTACGTTTTCTTCCTCCACTATGCACTGTCTTGGCGTTTCAGCTTTCTATGAGACGGAATACTGTTGATTTATGGTCTTTATACTTTTCAGATATACTTTTTTTCTATTATCAAAATCAAAAATTTTTTGTTCAAGAAAATATACCGTGTTTTACTAAACCCTTAAGTAAGCAGACTTCATTTGAAATTGTATGTTCATTACTAGTTAAATTACATTTTTGGAGACTTTTCCTTTTATTACAAAAACTTGCATAGTCGGAACTGATCACAGCTTATATGTATTACTTTTGAATATATTATATTTAAAAATAAAAATATACACAATATTTAACTGTTTTCCCTTTTATTGTATTAATTTTTTTCAGAATCATTGCCACATCGTAAACCACCAAAATCGCCAAACGCATTGCTGCCATTCTCATTGCAGACACCAAAAAAATCTCACTCCCCAACACGACATGCACAAAAACAATCAACCGGACCACGTGTACGGAGTGCATCGACCGGCAGAGACAAAAAATCCGAACTGCAAGCCCGTTACTGGGCTCTACTTTTCGGCAATTTACAACGAGCTGTCAATGAAATTTATCAAACTGTTGAGTGCTATGAAAATATTTCATCCTGCCAAGAGGCAATATTAGTGTTGGAGAATTATGTACGAGACTTTAAAGCCTTGGGTGAATGGTTCAAAGTCTCATGGGATTACGAATCTCGACCGGTACAACAGAGACCCAATTCGCTGGCTTGGGAAATTCGCAAAAGTAATCCTGTGCCACGTGTAAGAGCTAAAAGTCTTTCAAGTCCCACAGTATCAGGCAAATCCAGTCCATGTCCACATCCATATTCGGGCAAGAGTTCGCCATGTCTGGAGGGTCTTTCTCCACGCAAAGGTGTCCGTGTGAATGTCCGTGAATTGTTTGCCTCTTCCAAACGACTCATTAATGAAATTCAAAAGGACACAGAAGATGTGCAACCACCACCAACTCCAGCCACAACTACTGCAGTCGTCGATGTTGTGGAGGAAGAAACGGCACCCATGATATTGGAAAATCGAAGTCATCAATATGCTCAAACTGATTTGGAAGATGATCATTTAACTCTGGCCGGTATAAGGGAAAAACTGCAAAGAGAACAAGAAGAAAGGGAGGCAGAGGAAGAACGGAAGAGACAGGAGGAACTTGAAAAACAGCTACAACAGGAAGCTCAGAAAAAGTTAGAAGCGGAAACACCCAAAGAGGAACCTGCATTTGCAAAAGAAGTTAAAAAGGAACCATCTGCTGTGGAAATGACCATTAACAAATTGGACAGCATGGAAAATGAGTTTCTGGCTGTAAATACCAAAAAGGACCCCACACCTCCGGAAACTGTTTTGAAAAAGGTGTCGGAGGTGAATGAGGAAAAATCTTCCAAAGCGGTTGAGCTGCCGAAGAAGCCACAAACCCTTCAAACTGCAAATACCACAGCCCAAAACAGTCCCATGAAATATTCTAGTGTTTTAAATAGACCGGCCGTGCCATCCACCATAGCCACCTCATCTTCCCAAAGCAGCAGCCAGTCAACAGCAAAACCTATAGCAAACACCAAGTCATCAACACTTAGAGTAGCAGCTGTGAATAAATCTGCTAAAGCACCCACAAATACGGTTTCTACTAAACGTTCAACATTAGGCACTGCCCCTTCGATGGCATCCAGCAAACCTTCAATGGCTGCAGCAGCTCGATCAACTGCCAGAAATAGTAAATCTGCATTACCACCACGAGCCACCAGCAATAACAAAACTGAAGTTTATGGCCCACCTTCAAATGTGGCCAGTAGACTATCAGCCCGATCGAGAACCATGATTGAAATGAACAACAACAATAACAACACAAGTGGAGGACAACAGAAACAGCAACAATCATCGAATATGCTTAGAAGAAATATATCCAATCTCAATAAATCGTCTGCGTTTGGTTCTAATAAATCATCCAAAGATGATATTGGCAGCTCAACATCCACACTAAAGGCAAGTAACGAGAAGATATCAAGACACTCAGCGCAATCCGGTGCAACAGATGAACGAAAATCTGAACCCAAACAACTGCCAAGTAATAACGATAGCAGCAACAATGATGGTTGGCTAACCGTCAAAAATCGCCGTCGTTCCAGTATGCATTGGTCATCACGTTTCAATCAGCCCACTGGTTATGCTAGTCTTCCCACGCTGGCATTGCTGGATGAAAAACAAAGTGACGATGAAGAAGAAACCATCCCATCGGCGAAATCAAAACCAGAATCGGGCAAACCTATTACAAACGGTGTCAATGCCAACGGCAAACACACCAAACCATCGAAGACAGGCAAATTGGCTGAACGTCAAAATGCCAAATCCACAACACATTCCGTACGACCAGAAATTCGAAATGCCAAAGCCAAAGTGAATTCATTGCCCGCAAACCAGAAGAAGAATGTCACGACGAATAATTCCAATACGGCAGCTACCAAGAACAATACCATCAATCAATTACCCACAGTTTCGTCCGCAAGAAATACCAATGTTGTGAATATTCCGACTAGACAGACCATCATTAAACGGCAAAAATCCGATTTAACTGGTCTCAAAATGACCTCCCTCCATAAGGAGTATATGCGCAGTGAAAAGTTAGCCTTAAGGAAACAGAATAACACTCTGAATGGGACCACGAAATCTTCAGAGATACTCAATCACCATCCTTTGGGTTCGGGTGATTATTCAGATATTAATTCATCAGCTGAAACCATTGTTGAAGCGCCCAACTCATCATCACCCTCTGAAATGTTGGGTGCAGATATGAACTCATCCTCTTCGGCTGAACACAACAAAATCGATATTAAAATCCAAACAAATCGTGATTTTTCGAAAACAATTGGTGATCTATATAAGAGTATCTCAAATCGTATAGAATTGTCTACTTCACAGATCAGCAATGGCCCGGGAGCATTGTCGAGCTGCGATGAGAACGATGAATGTGATGAACATCAACGTCTGCTCGTTGAAGAACAAGAATCCCTCGAGAGACAAATTCGTGAACTGGAGAGTACAGAAATTGATGTTGATACGGAAACGGATGAAACTGACTGCGAAGTTGGAATTCTGGGTACCGATCGGGATGATGAAGAAGATCGTGATGATTTCAATTTCGACACTTCTTCTGTCGTATTTGTGCCCATCAATGAGGTTGACGATGATCCAAATCTTAGTTTGGAAACCCGCTATCAGGCATTGCTGTCGGAAATGTCTTGGGGTGAACGGGAAGAAGCTTTGGCAACATTGCAAGCTTACGTTTCGAGACACCCAGGTCGTGCACAGGAACTACATCAAAAATTGTCATCACCGTCTCGTCGCCGATCTCTGCAGGAGACTCTGAAAAAATACCAGGCCAAACAGGCCAGAGCTCAACAGAAACGAGAACTTCTCAATAAGGAAAAGTCAATTAAAATTCAACAACTCTTGGCTCGTGTCGAAGATGTCAAGGCAGCTAAAAGACAATTAATCGAAGAAAAACGTTTAAAAATGGAGGGACGTCTCCAGAGGGCAGCTGAAAATCGTGAGCAATATCTTAAGCATATCAAAGAGAAGGCCCACGATGAGGAGAAGAAATTGAAGGAGATCAATTTCATTAAAAATATTGAAGCACAAAATAAACGATTAGATCTCATTGAGTCGTCCAAAGAAACTGAGGGTCGTTTGCAGGATCTCGAACAGGAGAGACAAAAACGACTCGAGGAGAAGGCAGCTAAAGAGGCGGCTGTGGAGAGGCGCCGACAAGAGTTGGAGCAAGCTCGTCAACGTAAGCTGGAAAAGATGAATGAATCGCGGCTGGAGCGTGAACAAAGGATAGGAAAAATGCAAGAACAAAAAGAAAAACAACGTCAGGCATTGGCACGAGAAAAGGCGAGAGATCGGGAGGAGCGTTTGTTGGCATTGCAAGTACATCATCAACAAACTACCGAAGAACTACAAAGAAAGATACTGCAGAAGCAAAAGGAATCGGCTCGCCGGCATGAAGAAAATATTGAACATATACGTCAACGAGCTTTGGAATTGACCATACCATCGAGAAATGTTGAAGAAAATGGTGGACTCCTCAGATCAGATGTTGATGAGAAGGTTGAGGACGGTGATCTATCGTCAACCGTGTCCGATGTTGGCAGTCGCGAACATAGTCGCGGCTATAAGAAGAAAATGAAGAAGTTGAAAAATAGAATGGCACAGGCGTAAGTTTATAATTAATTTTCATATACAGTGAGTGTAATAAGTATTTTGCCTCAATAAAAATTTTACAAAATTCTAATATATACGCTTAAAGCCAGCATACTAAAGATGTAAAATGAATTATGTATGATGGGATATGTTTGTGGACATATTTAGATCTTATTTCTGCAAGAATCACTGCGAAAGACCTATTGGTCTCGAAGATATCGGCAAAAATCTATACCAACCCAAAAATGATTATCACAAAAAAGTATTTTGCTTTTTATTATCATTTTTGAAAAAATCATTGTATAATACACGCTTTGTCTTTTTATAGTTACCATTGCGGGTAAAGCGATTAGGCGACGATTCCAATAAACCACGGCATTTTTTCGCGAATATTTTCTCACATTTACGTTCAATACATTCTCCAGCAAATTTTCATTTAATATATGGTAATTTCTCGTCCTAATCTCAAAATGAGAGTATTAGATATGGTCGTCGCGGCTTCAGAACATCCCAACTAACTTTAGAATAATAAAAAGGAGGTTTTGCAAAATATATCGCGAGGACAGGACCCTAAAAACTATTAAAACCAAAATCCGACAAACAAATTATTAAAAAAAAAATATCGCGAAACCCCATTTTTCTGACTTTGTAAACTTTATGGTTCATTAATATTGATCTAGGAACCAATATATGCGATGAAAATAGTAATAAGGTGGTCAGATTCAAAGAAATGAACAGTTCTAAAACAACAGAAACTACAAGCATTACATGTAGTTGGGAGAAAACATCATTCTTCGTCAAATAGTATTGCGTTTTAAAAAACTGTGGTAGCTGGTGACGAATACGCAGTCAATATTTTACATCCGTTTAACACCATCAGTTGCGAATAAAATGCATCAGTGAATAAACTGGTCGATCTATTTATTTTCGAAATTTGCTGTATTTCTATTGCAACAAAACCGTTCATATCATAGAATCTGACCTTCTTATTGCTATTTTCATCGCATATATTGGTTCCTAGATCAATATTAATGGACCATAAAGTTTTCAAAGTCTGAATAATGGGATTTCGCGATATTTTTTTTAATAATTTGTTTATCGGATTTTGGTTTTAATAGTTTTAGGGCCCTGTCCTCGCGATATATTCTGCAAAACCTCCTTTTTATTATTCTAAAGTTATTTGGGATGTTTTGAAACCGCGACGACCATATCTAATACTCTCATTTTGAGATTAAGACGAGAAATAACCATATATTAAATGAAAAATTGCTAGAGAATGTATTGAACGTAAATTATGAGAAAATATTCGCGAAAAAATGCATTGGTTTATTGGAATCGTCGCCTAATCGCTTTTAGTATGTGGTTACCCGCAATGGTAACTATAAAAAGACAAAGCGTGTATTATACAATGATTTTTTCAAAAATGATAATAAAAAGCAAAATACTTTTTTGTGATAATCATTTTTGGGATGGTATAGATTTTGGCCGATATCTTCGAGACCAATAGGTCTTTCGCAGTGATTCTTGCAGAAATAAGATCTAAATATGTCTACAAACATATCCTATCATACATAATTCATTTTACATCTTTAGTATGATGGCTTTAGGCGTATATATTAGAAATTTGTCAAATTTGTATTGAGGCAAAATACTTATTACACTCACTGTATGTATATAAAAAAGACACTAACCAAACGTCAATTTTTTATAGCGCTGAGGAATATCTGAAAGAATTACAACCTGTACCACTTCACATGAAGCGAGAATCTCAGGTGCCAAAATATCTTAATTTGGTCAATAAAGGTGGTGGTTCTCAGGGACTGGAACGTGCCCTTGGCCATTTGTTGCGTATAATGGCCAAAGCTCAAGTATTCGATTTTCAATGTTTCCTACTGATGGATGGTTTGGGGTCTATTATCAGTGCTGTGATTACTCCAGGCATGCAAGAGGACTCTGACGTCTCCAAAAAGTAATATATTTTAATTGTTTGGATTTTCCTTTGTAAATCATATATTTGATTATTTATTTTCTAGAGCTGTTGTGCTTGCTGTGCAATTATATCGCAATGCCTGTACGTTGTGCCCACAAATTGCAAGACATGCATTATTGGGCAATTCCATTGTTGGACTATTTGATGCTCTATTCCAAAGTTTGCAGGTAAGATAATTACTCAAGAATATCAGGTGCATATTTGATAAAATAAAAAAAAAAATAATTTTTTTTGGCATGCAGCTACAATTTTTTTTGTTTACAATAATCACAAAATGGCGCTTCATTAAAAAATTACGAAACCGCTATTTTTTAATTTTACATCACAAATTGAATTTTTAGTTAATTAAGACGTCGTATAACTGTAACAATCCCCTGTCTTATAATAAAACCGCAAAATATCCCAGCCTTCTATATATATAGAAGAGCTTAGTGATAAGTGAGTAAGTGACTGACAGATCATCGTCCAGACGAAACGGCTGAAGCTAGAAGCTTGAAATTTGGAGTGTTGTTGTTGTAACAACAGAATACATGTAGAATGGCATTCATTGACTGGTTCTGCTTGCTCTACCTCCAAATTCAAGAAAGTTGCAACTTGAACGGGTAGCGTCCAAAGTGAATCCGGCGATAGATGGTTCGGTTTATCTGGGCAGTGTCCTAGTCCACATGAAGGACATGTGTTAGGTATCGAGACATCAAGAGACATCTCCAATTATGATATTCAATGCGATATTGCTCTACTGCCTGAGCGGCTGCGTCCGTGTGAATACCATTCAGATCTGCGTGATAGGCTTCTTGATCTAGGGATTCACGCTTATACCTTTGGACCTCTCTCTCTCTCTCCAGATCATGAAGATCTTTCCTGACGTGCTGGGCGGGGGAGTCCTGTCCACAAGACTTTGGCATGGGTGTTCCCGACGATAGCACCCAAGGAAGTACTGCATCGACAACATATAATTGTGTCGATGGACGGGTAAGATCTTCGTCTCCTCGTGAAGATGGTGTACAGGAGTCATGAGGAGACACCCTGTTGCAGTTCTCAGGGCAGCATTCTGGCAGGTCTAGATATTCTTCCATTGCGTATCACTAACATTCGCGAACTACACTGGCGCCGCATAGCTTGCCACTGACCGGCCTATAAGAGGCCAACAAGGTTTCTTTGTCAGCGTCCCAAGAGCTACCGGCTAGCGACTTGAGGACCTTGTTTCTGCTTCTCAGCTTATCGCATAAAGCAGTGGCTTGCGCAGACGACTTGAAAGGCTGTCGAATGTCATTCCCAGTATCTTGGGGTAGTTGGTGGTCGGAATCAGTTCTCCATCGACCATTATGTTCAGTGGGAGCTTCATTTCAGCCGCCCATGTGATGAACAGTGTGGCTGTTGATTTTGTGGCGAATATTTTCATAATCCTCAGATGGAAGAAATTAACAAGATCGGCTATGTAGAAGTTCAACATCTCACATATATCATCAATAATGGGACCGAAATCGGTCTATACGATTCACCCCTGCTGGTATCCTTGCCAGGCTTCAGTAGCGGGACCATACTGACTATCTTCCAGGCTTCAGGAACCGTGAGGGTGGTTAACGACAAGTTGAGGGGTGATGTTAAGTACTTAACTCCGGGTTCATCCAGCTGCTTAAGCATTACCATGGAAATTCCGTCCAGGCCCAAATCTTTGGATGACTTAGCGTTATTAATGACATCTGCAACGTCCTCCTTCGTAAATTGTGGTGGTTCCTCCTCAGCTCGAAGTGCCCTTATGCGACGTAGCACACTTCGTTTCGCCCTGTCACTATCGGGGAGCTCTATGAATTGCCGTTTAAATCAACTCGCGCAACTCTTCGGGTCTGTCACAGTCACGTCGTCAAAAGTAACAGCCGTCCTGTCATCTTACCTTCCAGGATTCGAGAGTGACTTAACCGTTGCTCACAATATACTTGTTCCGATGGCAATGCTGCATTGCTTCAGGTGGTCTAGCCACTTCTTCCTTTTGTGCTCGCATACTAATCTGTTGACTTTAAGGGTAATCTCTCGCACCCTTGGGTCTTCAGGGGTAGTACGACAGAGCTCATCACGCTCGTTAGCCAATACCGTTGCTTCTGCTGGGAAGTTGGGTCTTACTTCGGGTATTCGACCAGCAGGTATAAAGCGAGCGGCAGCAGTAGCGATGATTTTCCGAAAATTCCTCTCAGCTACCTGTGGATCTGAGGGAATGGCAAATCTGAAGCCAGGCCAATCAGCTTTCCCATGATTCAGGAAAGTACGGCTTTCAGAGGTTATGAAGTCTAGTGGTCTGTTGACGGAGACGATGATCGGAAGGTGGTCTGAGCCGAGTGAAATGACGGGTTGCCAGGTTACGTCATTCACTGGTGCCACAATGGTAATGTCCGGCGAGCTGTGGCAGTCTCCTTTTATCCTCGTGTGGACATCATTAACCATCATTAACCGTGCAAAATGTTGAGCTATCAATTTGCTCAGCCAGCGCGGTACCCCTCTGGTCATTACCTAGGACGGAATGCCACAACTAATGGTGGGCATTGAAATCTCCTAGTACCAGGCGGTTATTACCTTCTAAAAGCGGACTGATATCCGGTAAGTAACGCGGTGTACAGCTATTCATCGGCGGTATATAAACATTAAGCACCTCGACCTCGACAGCTCCACACTTGACTGCTACCCCCATATTTGTAGCGAAGACCATCGCAGTTGAACTGCAAGAACGATGCATTTTCTAGGCGCGGAAAGCAATATGTGGTGTTAAATGCTGCGCGTTTTGCTGTTGAGGAGACTGCGGGGGTGTCTCGTACTCCGACGATGACGATTCTGATGATGAATCGGACGACGACCCCTGAGACACACTGGGAGACGTGCTAGCGCAGCATGAAGCGACGTAACTCCATTCGCAATACTCCTGGATCCTGCCCAGTCCAGAGCAAACTCGAAAATGCACCCATTCTCCACATCCATTGCATCTCACCGAGATTGATCTATGGTGGATGCGGTTTCTACAAACACATCAGAACCAAGGTCCGGGGTTACTTTCAATCCCGGCACGGACAAGTAGGGTTCGGTGCAGGCATTCTGGGATATAATGTCGCTCCCATGACAAAAATGACGCACACGAACATGTAGATGTTGAGGTGGCAGCCTCTTGTCGGAGTCCATCATTAAGTCAATCCGGTACATAGAACCAGCCGCCGTGGGATTGAGTTCAATGGTAGTTGTGTTGGGTATCATAAGGTCGACCCCGTCGGACTATATTGCCCCGCACTGGTTTTGATTCATGCCGGTCTTTCTGTAAATGAACGTCGCTTTGCAACGTCTTTTTGGATGATCACAATGGACCAATAGGTCTCCGAGTTTAGCGACTTCTTCCTGGCAGTCGCACATCCCCTAATCTAAGCTTGATGTGTGGGTACCATGTGATCGGTCCAGTTTGACTATTCTGCTCTGCTCACAGGTTTTATAATAACAAAAGTTCACTAAAAATTCTATAATTCAGTAATATATATTAAACTTGTTTTAGTTGATGTTATCAGTGTTGGGCCGGAGTCTTGGTAGGCCCACAATATTCGTATAGTATCGGACTGAGACCTACCAAAAATTTGTTAACTCCACCGCCCTAGCTAATATTGGAATCAATTTCTTGTTGGAATATTAGATTTTATATATCCCAGTGAACGAAATCGCATGCATCTCCGGAAGTCGATATTTTATCTAAGCCCACATACTCACACGTTCTGATAATATATACGGTCGCGGTAATGTTTATAACATGTTAAAATTATTAATAGTATTAGTATTATTAAAAAAAGAATGCAAGTTTTAAATAATCAAAATAAACATTTTGGATGCATCATCAAAATCGAAACGATTTCAATGTAGAACCAATTGTTGGCATACGATTTTGAAAGTCCTAGACGCGTTGTAAAAATTAGTGAAAACGGCGAAGTTATCGCCGAACATTTTATACCCTCAGTTAATTTGATTTTTAAATTATTATATTTCGCAATATTTGGAGCTGCAAAAATACTGCATTACAGTCACTTAAGGATGATTTAATTTCGGTAGGATGATTGTTGGTAGGATGATTTAATTTCGAATTATCGCCAATTCAGTTGGAGAACAAGTCCAAAATTGGGGGTATCGCTATATAAGGCTATGCCTAAAATATAAACATTTTTTGGAAATGTTTCCAAAATAACGAAAATCGGATGGAACTGTATTCGTATACTTAAAGGTGGACCGATATTGATAACGTTTCATATTGCATAGGTAACGTATTTGTAGTTTCTGTTATTTTACTTTTTAAAATTTACAACCTGAGGGTTAAATTTGGTATTCCGTTTTTCTGAGGATAAAAAACTTGCTGGCACACAATTCCGACCAATTTAGGTACTTTAAATTGACGCATCTTTCGACCAAAGTAAACTGTAATTCGACTCTCCAGTCCCTTCGCATTTTATGCATTTGTTTGGCCTAAACAAGTTACAATGTAAATCAAATTGATTGTAGATAATTGATAAAAACTGACATATCGAATTGTGATTTACAACGAGTCGGTGTATTAATTTAAATTATTAAATTATATATTGTCCATGATTTTATAGAAATTAACTTCCTCAAATAGCCTTCAACATATTTTAGACATATCTTCTTGTTCGGCTATTCTCCTTGTAGTTTGTCGTATTGCTGACAATAATTTTTAACCCTGTGTTGTCAATGTTGTTGCTGCTGCTGTTTATAATTGCTTGGTGTTGGATGCTGACCCGGTGATATTTCTTTGCGACACTCCAAATATTTTTCTTTTTCATGCATTGAGTTTGTACGAAAGTTTCTTTTGTTGTTTAATGAGAGTGTGCGATGTCGTCGTCTGTCTGTCCGTGTCATTTTTCGTCGTCTTTAGTTTTTGCCTTTTAACGTTGGCACTCTTCTCCGGATTTGATACGATTTACGGCTGGCTGAAGGTTCGTGCTTGTGCCAATCTGTTTTTGTATGTACGTACGTACGTTTGGGTGAGTGTGTGTGTGAAGAATGTTGCGTAAGTATATTGGCGCCATCGGTGACATTTTTATTGTGCGTTAATTTGTACAGCGGCAAAACAATTATTTCTAAATTAAATTCACCATTTCGGCACACGAGAGCGCTCAAACCTCAAATTCGAACTCCTTGTGGAGCAACATCTCAGTTTACACACAGTTCGAGAATAGTTTACGACAAATATGTCCAATAAATAACAAAAATGTCACAGCGACAATTACAAGTCAATAATTTACAGAAAAAGACTTGGAGTGGATTTTTGGGAATAGATATTTGTATATAATCCAACAACAAAAAGAGTAACAACAAATGGACCGACAACGACGACATCAACTTCTGGGGTTCGTAAATGTGAATTGAATTATGTTTATATATTTTAAGTATTTCGTTTGACTTCAAAAGTTTTGCTTATATGTATGTATTCACTTTATTTTTGTTTACAATTGTTTAATTTTTAGGCAATTTTCACTGACCTAGGGGAAGTTGTTGAATTTTAGTATTTATAAAATCAAGAGATTTCCATAGACATCATAATCCTCACGGAATTTCGGATTTGTAATTTAAATCACATTTTAGTCATACAGGGTCTGCTATTTATGTACAAACAACTATCTTTCCGCCCACAAAATAATATCACATAAAATACACTTATCCCAGCATTTTTCCAAAAGTCGGAACATTTCTGAAACGAGGTTTTAGTATAGCCAACAGTTCCTGTTGCAAGTCGATGAACGAGTTGATGCGTCGATCTGCGAATCATGATAAAGAATCCAACGAATTCCTTAGCGCAAACTGAGGATAATTTCAGTTATAGACCGTACGATGTGTTTTCAATTTTCTATTCATCCAATAAATAAAATTTACTACCTGCTATTTAGACTTATTTAATCCTTTATGGCCCAATATTGCCCACAGGCAACAACATGTTTGAGCTTATATTTAATACGCAGCTAGTAAATATATATTTTTTGGATTACATATGTTAAGAGCTGATTATGGACGACACATATCAAAAGAAAAATCTAAAAATTCAAATTTTTGGTGATGTCATTTTATACGTTTTTTAATATATAGATGAGTGCAAAAATGTGTACAGTACCAATTAGCGTATACAGTCCAAATTATTTAAATTGCTTCGTAATCGAAATGTACGAATTGTATCCTCCAAATTGTTGTTGAGCCTTGTGAAAAAGAACCACAAGAATAATTAAAAGTAATTTTTAAGTCGATATTGCATTTGTTTTTCTTGATGTTGGACGTTTATTTATCTGAAATAAGGTACTGTATCGCCCGAATGCAAGGATGTGGCGACGTCAAATTACGGACAAAATTTGACGTCGCCCATTTAGGATAAATACATTAAATCTGTGCACAGAAAAAAGATCTATAGTCACGGAAAAAAATCGAGGCTCAAAGGGTTAACGTTCTCTGATTTTTATAGTTGATATATAAATGTTTTTAATTATTTTATTTTTTTCTTATATTTTGTAGCTTCCAGAAGAGAAATCGCCACAACATCCTGTTGAATTATCCACCGAGTTAATGCTGGCATGCACGGTGGCCCTATCACCATCCTATACGAAAAAACACACTCAAGCCAATGTCTTGGAGCGTCTACCCGATATAATAAGGTGAGTTTATGTAACATAATCTTGACCCATGACGAATTCAATGAAATAGGTGTAGTACACCTGTTATTTTTAAGTTACTGTGCTTACTGCAAGTTAAATTTTCTAATTAGAATGCTAAGGCTGTGCAGAGCATAAAGGCAAGAGCAAGCTTTTTAGAGAGAGAATTTGTAACAAATAATTGTAACATTACATCGTAATATTTTTTTCCATGAAAGATAAATTTCGAAGATGGAGGATATTGGTTCAATCTTTCTGGCTCCGCCTCCACAAAATAGTCAAAATTTTGCTGAAAATGTATGTTATAATATCACGTGAAAGGACTATCCGATTTGAAGTAAACTTTGCACAACCTAACCTAAAACATGAAAAATTTCTTTTTATAGAATAAAATTGTACATATCTACTAATTTTGTTCGCCACCTAATAGTGAAATTTTGTAAAGAATATACCACTAAAATTAGGTTTCGACCAAAAGATGATGATTAAAAAAATATGTTTCGAGACCTATAATGAAATTTGATAGAGAGTATTTTTCCATTGACATCAACACCATAAAATTAAGTTTGGATGCGAATATTCCAATTTGGCCAAACATATAATCTTTAAACACACCCAATTTGTTATTGATGTTAAACTGATATATACCACTTAAATAAAAATTCTCACATATACATCCAACTTAGTACCCATATTTTATAGATTTATATTACACCAAACGGTTTATATTGTTTGGTAGCCCATAGTAAAATTTTATAAAGAATATTTTGGGAGATTTTGACGTGAACTTGAAATTTCGACCAAAAATAGACAATTCTAATTAGTTCTAAATTTGATTCTATTAACAATTATGTCCACAGATTTTTCATTTTCTGAAACCCATAGTGAAATTTGAAATTTGATTTTTCCATTGAGAATATTCCAATCTAATGAATATTAAAAATTTTCAAGGGGCTGTTAAATCAAAACCAAAGCTTTTTAAGGTTTGTAACTTTGAAGAGATTTAAGATTTAAAGGAAATAAAAATAATTTACAATTTTATTGTTATTGTTTTGTTGCTGTTTTGATGTCGAACTCCTCCTCACTAAAACATCGTAATCCGAAAATTCCAACGGTCTCGAATGAACTAGAATTATTAACTTCGCTCAAAAATCAACAAAATGGCGGACCTTTGAAAAAATTCTATTTTTTTATTCTATTTTTTTTTACCACAAACCAAGATCTTGACCGATTGGATTCATCCTAGTTCATAATAAAGCTATACACTCACAGAATAACGTCCCGTTTTATACGGTAATTACCGTTTTATACGGTAATTTTGTTCTCTAGCAGCGTAAATACGAGGGCAGTTCGGAAAGTTCTTAGTCCTAGCGCAAAAAGCACGTTATAAACAGACAAAAGTTAAGTGTTTTGGAAACGTCCATCTCTGTTATGAACACATGTTACATTTTGTTTCGATCTGGCAACTACTCCATATAGAAACAGGTGTTCAAAAAAGAAGCATACGCAATTTGTTTACAATGAAAACACGCAAAAAATATTTTTTAAACAATAATAAAATATTTAAATGGAACTTAAAGTATGTCATAGGCAAATTCAGTGTAAAGGTTACATTTGCACCAATTAGTAAAAATTTATAAAAATTTTAAAATAAAAAAAATTATGAGGATTTAATGGAAAAAGTGTAGTCCAATAGAATTTGAAACCCCCCATTGTCGGTGTCAATTTTTTTTTTGATTTACTTCGAATCTACACTAATTCAAGTATGTCTCTACAAAATTCCAAGTGAAAATTTCAAAAACTCTTGAAGATATAGCCGTAAATTTTAGACCGGAGTCAATTATCCCAGTTCATACGAGAGCCCTTAAATAACAGTATGTTATTATTTCTTGTATTTTTTTAAATTACAACTAGTGTCGCCGCTGCATAAAAAAATTCTAACAGATTTTTCTAAATTATTAGCCTAAAAATGGGTCAACCATCAGACCAAATAGAGAATTTATTTATTTTTCAGAAAAAAAATAATGTACTGCTTTTTTACTTTTTTTACTGTGCCACATGCCACCAACACTACTTCAACGACATCTAGTGCTTCCATTTTTTGCTATTAACATCATTATCTATCTTGTTGTGATGTTTCTCTTTGCACGTTAAATATCAATGGTAATACATAACAAATTTGCATTATTAATTTATACACAATTAAGTTCGCTGTTTTGCGAACAGATGTCGCTAAACAAGCCTTTTCAACAATACTTAGCACAGACCGGGCAATTTACAAATCGACTACTTATAAAACAATCCCCAAAACTAATATCAACAAGTAAGCATATTTTATTGTCCTCTTTCGGCTTGCCTCTCTACCTACCACTTAACGACATCTATTGGCGAACATTATTTCGAACTTTCGAACATTGAGAGTAATTCGTTGTTGGGTTTATTTACTTGTAGCTCTCCTGATGCTCACAAACGGGGGTTATTATTTTCATGGGGAAATTCGAAGTTACTAAAAAGAAAGAGAGAGGAAGAAATTACGATACTACATTTAATTAATATGAGGCAGAGTGAGATGAATATTTAGCTAAAGCCAATTTTAGTGGGAGTGCAAAAGGGATAACAACATAACTGTTTTTAGGCGTGGTATTATTCTCTCCTTCTGTACAACATGTTGATATGGTTATTTTTGTTCTTTTGATATACTTTCTCATACAGAATAGGTGTGTATGTGTATGTGTGCGTGTGTGTTGGTTTCTTTTTTGTTTTTGTTGCCACAGAATATTAATCGTGCATACCCAATATCAATGCAACCATCGGCATCGATGTTGCCGCTACCATGTCTCTGCTGCTGCCGTAGCCACCATTTCTTTTTGGCTGCTGTTCGCATCGTCGGTCCTTGGCACAACGACACCGACATCGACCGACCAACATTTCATTCATTTTTATTTTTCTTTCGCCACAAAACTGTAAAGCCGCTTGCATTGTTGTTGGTGGTCTTTGGTGTTTCCCCTGCAAGAAAAAAAGAGAAGGAGAGAAAAAAACAACGTTTATAATCGCCTTGTGTTGAACAACTGTATGTGTATGCGTGTGTGTGCGTTTTTGCAAACAACAGTCGGGTCGTTGGTTTTTTATTTTTTTTGTTTCGAGGATCCCTTGGTGGCAACCTATTCTGCATTTTTGGTATCCTTACCCAGGCCAGAGTTGAAATTAGAAAAATGTTTTTTCTTTTTGTTTTTGTTGTTTTAATTTTTGTTTTATCGTCTACTTTTTTCGCGTTTGTCATTGTTGCTTTTATTTTTACTGTCATTGTCTACCATTTGTTATTTTTTCGCCTTTTTGTTTTTATTTTCCTTGCATATTAATGCTGTTGTTGTTTTATTTTTGTTGTGTTATTGTTTTGTTTATATTTTTTTATTTGTCATTCATTGATAAAGGAAGTCACCTTTCGTCCACCCACCCAGCATCATTTATGCCAAATTTAAGATTTTGACGTTTGTTCTAGTTTTTCGATATGGTAAAAATTTTATTTAATATCGTTTATTTAGAATAGGACGCAAGAAGTTTACTGTCGGTCACTGTCGGAAACATATATTGCCTATCGGAATTCCGCTATTCCCCATGTGAAACTAGTCAGTCCTAAGCGAAATAATCGATAAATGTACTAGTAGTGACTTTTTGACTTTAGTTGAAAGTTAGTTTAAAACTAGTTCATTTCCCTATATACAAACATAATACTACTAATGAGTACCATTAGCTTTGGAGAAAAATAGGAAAATGAATGGTCCATAAGGACCACATAATATTCTACTTGATTTAAAATGCGGTTAATACATGTCCAGGTTTCCCTCCGCGATTTTTAAAAATTTCCTGGAAGGTTCCCCATAAAATGCGTTTGTGTGACCCAAAGTATCCACTTGGTTTTTATACCCTCAGCCTTATGGGTAATTAGTGTATATATATGTGAAAATGTGCCTCATCGAAGACCCCATTTTTCCTTGGACAAAATCCGTTTCAAAAAATTTGGAGTCGATTTACACAAAATATTTCTTCCAAACATAGTTTAAGTTGGAAGATGGGGAATATCAGTCCACTCCTTATGGTACCTCCCCCACAAAATGGCCAAAATTGTGCTAAAAATTAATTTTATAATAACATGCAAACGGACTATCTGATTTTAACGGAACTTTGCATAACCTATTACCTTTTCCAAGCCTAGATCAATTCCGAAGATGGGACCCATTGGTCCACTTCTTCTTGTATGTCCCACACAAATGGTCAACATCCTACCATAGGGTGAGGGTATATATCTGTCGGGAACACCGACTGACATCTTAACTTAAAATAAATGCAATAAAATAAACATTTATGTGAATTCAATATAAAAAAAGAAATTGCAATATCACTGTGAAAAGTATCCAATATACTTTTTCAGATTTGGTATGCTTGACATGTTATGGCTTCTAATATTTTTCTCAAAAATACTCAATAAGATTTCTATAGGTTTCAAATCCGGTATCTTTTGGACAATTTGAAAAATACACTCTTGAACGATCTGGGAATTGTGTTTGGTTGGGGTCATTTTATTGATATAATTGAAAGCAAGTTAAATTTGCTTTCATCAGCAAAAATAACAGATTTCCAAAATGCTAAATCCTTTTTTTTTGTATTTCTGAACGAACTCCGAACAGATTTCCCATTTTTTGGGATTTATGCGCTTAGGCAAAATTCTTCGAATGGTTTTTGGTTACATTTCTTTTCCAGCTATTTCTCTGCGATTTAGGAAAGTTTAGGTGCACTTAACTTTGAATTATCGGTCACTTGTCAGAGCAACCACTTTTCGTATGTATTGTATATTAAATATTTTTCTCCCTGGCTTTTGGCTTCTTGCAAATTCGATTATCAGCTTTGTGCCTCAATGTAATTTTTTGGAAAGCAGAATGAGTAATAGTGACTTTTTCCGTTGAGATTTACCTAGCTAATCGTGAAGAACTAATTTTCTCTCGGCA